CAGTGATACATGCTGACTTGGACAAACGGGCAAAGACGAGGCATGCTCTTGTCCCTAGACTTGCATAAAGCCTTTGATTCCCTATCCTAGGAATATCTATTCTTCACTCTTCGCAAATATGGCTTTGGGCTGCATTTTTGTACCCTGTTGCAGGCACTTTACCATAAACCCACAGCCAACTGTATTGTGATGGGACATAGCTATTCATGAATATGGAAAAGGCACTCGACAGGGATGCCCTTTTTCTCCATTATTCATTTTAGCACCTTAACCTTTGGCAATCAAACTCAGGAGCAACTCTGACATCCAGGGGATACCCTGCGGGAGTTGTGTTGACAAATGCGCCTTGTTTGCGGACAATATCTTACTGGCTCTCTCTTCCCCAATCACATCCATCCCTAACCTTTACGCAGTTCTTCTCCTCTATATCAGTTCTCAAGGTCAACCATAACAAGTCACAAGCTATAAATATTTAACTAGAACATCTTACGATCCAGGCCCTTAAAAGCTCTTTTCCATTTAAATGGCAATCAGATGCCCTCCCATATTTAGGCATTAAAATGACCCCTACTTTACAAACCCTATATCAAAAGATCTACCCACCACTTAATAAAAATTTACTGATGATTTGACTAGGTGAATGCAGAAATCCCCCTCCTGGTTCGGTAGGCTGCACTCGCTTAAGATGAACATCTTACCACGTCTCCTTTACCTCTTTCAAAACCTACCAGTGTCCATAAACTTACTAGAAATGTCAACTACCATTGATGACCTATATCTGGGGTGACAAAAGACCTAGGGTGAATAAAGCTATACTTTATGCTCCCGGGTTGAGGGGAGGCCTGGGGGTCCCGGACCTGATTAAATATTACCAGGTGGCCCAACTGGCTTCGCTAATTAGATTCCATACTCAGCAGAGCCATCCCATGTCAGTGCACATGGAATCATCCAATCACACCTATGAGACCGGTCAGCCACCTATTGTGGATGCAGGTCAAGTACAGGCCCACGATTCTTTGCCCCACACTATCATTTTCCTTAGGCCTATGAGACAGATTGGTCACAAAACACAAATTCAGATCTGCCCATACTCCACTGGCTCCATTGCTGGAGAATCTGGTATTCACCCCTGGTCTAACACCCCAGAACTTCCATTGGTGGACCAACAAGGGTCTTATGCGTATAGCAGATATTTATGACCATCGAGGGGTCTTGTCAATGCAACATCTACAAAATATGACTTACCCCAAATGGAACAATACTGTTCTGCTCAGATTACATACTTCATAAATTCCATGAGGAGAAGATTTGACCTCTCCACTACTACACCTATGGAATATCTATGTAGGGGCATTGACAAACACTTGGGCCAAAACTCCAAACTATGCTCTGTTGTCCTCCATCGAGGTCAAGTTATCCTATATGGAGAGATGATAGAGGGACATGGGGGAAACCATAGACATAGCAGAATGGCAAAAGCTGGCTCAGTACTCAGCCAAATCGATAATACTTCCTTAATTGAAGTGAACTACAAAGTATTCTTGAGGTGGTACATGGTCCCAGCCAGGGTGGCCAGGTGGGTCCCAGAAGTCTCCTCCCTTTTTTCAGGGGTTGTGGACAGGATGGCAAGGCCTATCATATTTGGTGGATGTGCCCGAAAGTTAGGAGATTTTGGATCCGTACCTATAATTTCCTATATTTGCTGCTCACCGTTGTAAACATGACCAAATCTTCATACCAAGCGATATTAGGCCACCTAGTGGAGGGAGCTGCGAGGCCCACACAACGCCTGATCGCATTTATAATAGTGGCAGCAAGAATCTCCATAGCGAGATCATGGAAATCCCCCACAATATCTCTTGACCTCCTAAAGGCTAAAATGTCCTGGATCATGGTCAATGAACGTCTTACCGCATTTCTGCAGGACAAGATGCCATTTTCTGAAAAGACCTGGGACCCCTGGATAAAATATTTGGAGGGATCAGCCACCTAAATATGTCTAGTGGCTTACTGACCCAGTCGGGGGGGCTAGCCACTGCCAATCTGCTTTCTCTTTACTTTTTCTTATCTTTACTGTATCCCTTTCCTTTTTTTTTTTTTTTTTTTTCTTTCACTTGGTTTCTCTACATTATCAGGAGGAAAATTGGTTAAGCGCAGGCTACCCTGGGTATCCTACCCCACGTGGGTTGGAAGAAACGGAGTACATATGTGATTTCAGTTATCTGACAAGCTGATCGTATGGTGTTTTAGGGCCCCACTAGGGTATAACATGTGCCTGGATTGGCCCTTCATAGAAATGTTTAATATAAAACTCTGGGAATATTGTTCTGTTGGTAATAATCCTCCAGTTATGAAGAACCTATCTTGACTATACAGTGGGGAACAGAAATATTTGAACACCCTGCGATTTTGCAAGTTCTCCCACTTAGAAATCATGGAGGGGTGTGAAATTCACATTGTAGGTGCATTCCCACTCTGAGAGACAGAATTTAAAAAAAAAATTCAGGAAATCACATTGTATCATTTTTAAAGAATTTATTTGTCTTGCACTGCTGAACATAAGTATTTGAACACCTGAGAAAATCAGTGTTAGTATTTGGTACAGAAGCCTTTGTTTGCAATTACAGAGGTCAAACGTTTCCTGTAGTTCTTGACCAGGTTTGCACACACTTCAACAGGGATTTTGGCCCACTCCTCCACACAGATCTCCTCTAGATCTGTCAGGTTTCGGGGCTGTCGCTGAGCAACACGGAGTTCCAGCTCCCTCCAAAGATGTTCTATTGGATTTAGGTCTGGAGACTGGCTAGACCACTCCAGAAGCTTGATATGCTTCTTACGGAGCCACTCCTTGGTTATCCTGGCTGTATGCTTCGGGTCGTTGTCATGTTGGAAGACCCAGCCACGACTCATCTTCAATGCTCTGACTGAGGGAAGGAGGTTGTTGCTCAAAATCTCACAATAAATGGCCCCATTCATCCTCTCCTTAATACAGTGCAGTCGTCCTGTCCCCTTTGCAGAAAAGCACCCCCAAAGCATGATGTTACCACCCCCATGCTTCACAGTAGGGATGGTGTTCTTGGAATGCAACTCATCCTTCTTTTTCCTCCAAACACAACGAGTGAAGTTTAGACCAAAAAGTTCTACTTTGGTCTCATCTGACCACATGACTTTCTCCCATGCCTCCTCTGGATCATCCAGATGGTCATTGGCAAAAACTTCAGACGGGCCTGGACATGTGATGACTTGAGCAGGGGAACCTTCCATGCAATGCATGATTTGAAACTATGACGGCGTAGTGTTCTGCCGACAGTGACCTTTGAAACTGTGGTCCCAGCTCTCTTCATGTCATTGACCAGCTCCTCCCTTGTAGTTCTTGGCTGATTCCTCACCTTTCTTATCATCAGTGATACCCCACTAGGTGAGATCTTGCATGGAGTCCCAGTCCGAGGGAGACTGACAGTTGTCTTTAACCTCTTCCATTTTCTAACAATTGCTCCAACAGTTGATCTATTTTCACCAAGCTGCTTGGCAATTGCCCCGTAGCCCTTTCCGGCCTTGTGGAGGTCCACAATTTTGTCTCTGGTGTCTCTTGACAGCTCTTTGGTCTTGCCCATGGTAGTAGTTGGCATCTGACTGACCGTGGAGTGGACAGGTGTCTTTAAAGAGCTCAGACAGGTGCTACTAAGTTAGATTAATGAGTGGAGTAGAGGTGGACTTTTTAAAGGCACAGTAACAGGTATTTGAGAGCCAGAATTCTTGCTGTTTCTTAGGTGTTCAAATACTTATGTTCAGCAGTGCAAGACAAATACATTCTTTAAAAAATCATGTGATTTCCTGAATTTTTTTTTTTTTTAAATTCTGTCTCTCAACACCCTGCAAAATCGCAGGGTGTTCAAATCCTTCTGTTCCTCACTGTGTGTACAATCGACGCCACCTTCTCATTTGGTGCCTTGCTTCTTTAATTTTTTGTATTGTAAACTTTCAATAAACAATGACTAAAATGAAAAAATGTAACAATAATAATACAAAAAAAAACAAAACGGAAAAAAAATAGCTAGATCAGCCTCTCTCAACCTTTTCAACACAGAGGAACCCTTGAGGTAACTTTCTAGTCTCAGGAACCCCTGCTAAAATTACTAGATCTACAACGTATGATAAATTAGCGTGCTGGTCAGACACTTGTTGTCCTTGGAAAAAATAACCACCCTACGGACAGCTAAAAAGATCAATAGTGTCAGTGGGAAGTTATCTGAGAGGCAGAAATTGCTCCTTGCTCAAGGAACCGTTAGCAACTTCTGGAGGATCCCTAGTTGAGAAACCCTGAGCTAGATCTACGTCAATGCCAGGATTAATGTTAGGGTCAAGGTAAGAGTCAAAGGCCAAGGACAGGATCAAAGGTCAGGTCAGTATATTTTAGCTAGGATTTTTTTAAAAAGACAGCTTCAGTAACAGTGTGTTTTAGGTACATTAAAAATAGCAAAATGTGCACTACTGTTTCTGGCCCTTACTACAAGTACAAACAATAACTAACATACACATATGTGGTATCTCTGCGATTGTCAGTAGCAGGAAAATTTAGTTTGGGTTGTTGTTTGGTGGTAAGTTATAGTAATAGCAAGAAATGTACAGCTGAATTTAAAAAAACATTTATTTTACTACTTTGGAGTTTTCCTTTACCATTGACTACCAAAAGAAAGCCCAGTTTGTCCTGAAATAAACAAAGTATAATCTACCTGGTTACACAAACGTAGTTGCAATGATATGTACAGTAATACAACCACAAGTTGTATAACAGGTATTAACATTTGTTTCACACCGTCATTCACTAAGGGGTTAATCAAAATACAATAGTAGAAACATGGTTATCATTCACAGCATGCCTTGAATGTAACTTTTGTGGAAGATGGTTAAATTGGTAGGTTTAGTTCCGCTTGGAAGAGCTTTAAGATTTTTCTCTTCAGTTAAAATGTTTTCATAACCTGAAGTTCAATACTAAGAGTTTAAAAACAAAAATGATATGTATTACCTCGGATTGCCTGGGTGTTTGAAGTCAGCACAAACAGAGTGATAAGCCTTAGACACAAAGGAGTGTAGTCATGTTCCCAAATGACCGCTGGAATCAGCAGGAGCTTCCCATAGCTGGATAACAACAGAGCTTTAAAAAGAAGAGCAAATTCAGAACCTGACTTCAAAGGCTTCAGCATAGCCGAAAACAGAACAATGAAGATTCCCGTGAGGTAGGCTGCCTGTTCTGTGTAGAAAATAAATAGAAATACACATTTTACCTTATGTACGAATACATTGAACAAAACACAATTTACCTTTAACGGATACATAAAATATTGTATTCTGTATGAGTTATATTTTACAAGTCAATCTCACTGCTCAAAAAAAAAAAAAAAAAAAAGTAAAAAAAAAGAATGTACAATAAGAGTTTGGATTTTGGCTTCTAGGCTTTTCATTGTAGAGATTATCTATTTTTTCCCTAGATTGTTTATCAAGCTTTCAAAAAAATTATTATAAAAAAACAGCTTTATTCTCACAGATGTTTGTATATTCAGTACATGCAGTATACAAGATCTCATAACATGATGGTCTAGGTATTGTAATGTTTAGTTATACCCAAAGCAGCTATTCCAAACATTCTGTAGAAATCCCATTCTTTTGCATATCTAATGAAATCTTCAGGATCTGTGTGATTGCTGGATCCAGGCAGCTGTCGCCATCTAGTGTAAGCTTCACAGAGTAGACAAAACATACAGAGTTTGCCATGAATCTGGTAAAACAATAACACTACTTTACTTCTAGCACATGATAGGACACATTATTATTTTTACAGAAAAAAAATAGTCTACTGTTGTAGCAATAGTTATAAAAAATATTTAATTTTTGTTTTTTCATATGTGCTAATCCAGGGGTCTCCAAACTACAGCCCGTGGGCCGAATGTGGCCTTTTGCTTGCCTTTTTCCAGCCCTTGGGGCACTATTCCTCCCATCAACACCAACAAGGAGGCTCCATTCCTTCCAATGTAATCAACAGTGGGGAACCACATCTATCACTGACACCAACAAAGGGGGCATTTTTCATTCCACTATAAACAATTAGGCCCTATTGCCCCCAGTGATACGAATGATGGGGCACAATTCCTCCCACTGATACCAATCATGGGGCACTATTTCTCCCACTGATACCAATCATGAGGCACTATTCCTCCCAGTGATACCAATCATGGGGCACTATTCCTCCCAGTGATACCAATCATGGGGCACTATTCCTCCCAGTGATACCAATCATGAGGCACTATTCCTCCAAGTGATACCAATCATGGGGCACTATTCCTCCCAGTGATACCAATCATGAGGCACTAGTCCTTTCAGTGATACCAATCATGGGGCACTATTCCTCCCTGTGATACCAATCATGGGGCACTATTCCTCCCTGTGATACCAATCATGGGGCACTATTCCTCCCTGTGATACCAATCATGGGGCACTATTCCTCCCTGTGATACCAATCATGGGGCACTATTCCTCCCTGTGATACCAATCATGGGGCACTATTCCTCCCTGTGATACCAATCATGGGGCACTATTCCTCCCTGTGATACCAATCATGGGGCACTATTCCTCCCTGTGATACCAATCATGGGGCACTATTCCTCCCTGTGATACCAATCATGGGGCACTATTCCTCCCTGTGATACCAATCATGGGGCACTATTCCTCCCACTGAATACCAATCATGGGGCACTAATCCTCCCAGCGATACCAATCATGAGGCACTATTCATCCCAGCGATACCAATCATGAGGCACTATTCCTCCCCAGTGATATCAATCATGAGGCACTATTCCTCCCCAGTGATATCAATCATGGGGCACTATTCCTCCCCAGTGATATCAAGCATGGGGCACTATTCCTCCCCAGTGATATCAATCATGGGGCACTATTCCTCCCAGTGTTACCAATCATGGGGCACTATTCCTTCCACTGATACCAATCATGGGGCACTATTCATCCCAGCGATACCAATCATGGGGCACTATTCATCCCAGCGATATCAATCATGAGGCACTATTCATCCCAGCGATATCAATCATGAGGCACTATTCATCCCAGCGATATCAATCATGAGGCACTATTCATCCCAGCGATATCAATCATGAGGCACTATTCATCCCAGCGATACCAATCATGAGGCACTATTCCTCCCAGCGATACCAATCCTGATGTACTATTCCTCCCAGCGATACCAATCCTGATGTACTATTCCTCCCAGCGATACCAATCCTGATGTACTATTCCTCCCAGCGATACCAATCCTGATGTACTATTCCTCCCAGCGATACCAATCCTGATGTACTATTCCTCCCCAGTGATATCAATCATGGGGCACTATTCCTTCCAGTGTTACCAATCATGGGGCACTATTCCTCCCACTGATACCAATCATGGGGCACTATTCCTCCCACTAATATCAGTCATGGAGCACTATTCCTTCTCCAAGCCCAAGACATTGTTTACTCCCATTGATACTAGGGAATTTTTTCCCACTGGCCACTCCAGCCCCCCTAAAGACTGAAAAACAGTAAACTGGGCCTTTGCTTAGAAAGTTTGGAGACCCTTGTGCTAATCTAATAAATACAGTATATACAACAGGTATTGGAGTCCAGAGTATAAAACAAAAACTGAAATGATAGTATTTTCATTTGTAAATGTTTGCTTCTCAAAGGAAAAATAATATGTGTAAGAGGCAACAATTCAAAATATCAGTCTACAGTGCATGCAAATCAAGAAAAGCCACAGCAAATATTTTCTTCTGACGCTATCTCTATGACATTTAGAATTGGAAGAATTCATTTTTATGTCTATCAAAATGTTTTTTTTTTCTGTCAAACTTCATTGAATCAATCTCAGCAACCTAAGGAAATGTGCTAAATAAAGAAAAATATGTATACATTTGTTTATTTGGAAGGAAATGAAGCTGGAAAAAAGTCTGCTTGCCATGACTAAGAGTGATATAGCAATGTTTAACCACTTGCCTACTGGCACACTTATACCCCCTTCTTTACCAGGCCAATTTTCAGCTTTCAGCGCTGTCGCACTTTGACAATTGCGCGGTCATGCAAGATTGTACCCATATGAAATTTTTATTATTTTTTTTTCTCACAAATAGAGCTTTCTTTTGGTGGTATTTAATCGCTGCTGTGCACTTTACTTTTTGCGCTATAAACAAAAAATTTGAAAAATTTTATAATAGAAACAAAGAACCTTTTTTTTTTTTCAAATTTTTTGAAACAGGTAATTTTTCTCCTTCACTGATGTGCGTTGATGAGGCAGCACTGATGGGCACTGATAGGCGGCACTGATAGGCAGCACTAATGAGGTGGCATGGATAGGCGGCACTAATGAGGTGTCACGGATAGGCGGCACTCGTAGACAGCACTGATAGGTGGCACTGACTGGCGGGGCACTGCTGGGCATTGGGCTGACTGCGCAACTGCTGGGCACTGACTGGCAGCACTGCTGGGCTGCACTGATGGGCACAGGTGGGTGGCACTGCTAGGCACAGGTAGGTGGCACTTCTGGGCACAGGAGGGTGCACTGATGGGCACAGGAGGGTGCACTGCTGGGCACTGGTGGGCGGAACTGGTGGGTGGCACTGCTGGGCATCGATCATCAGGGCACTGATGATCGATGCCCAGGTGCCGATCCCTGCTCTGACAGCTGCCGGTTCTCTGCAGTACTTTCCTCACACTCTGACAGCGTGAGGAAAGTGCAGCCGAGAACCGGCAATTGCATTTCCCGGTGATCAGCGTGTCATTGGACACGGCTGATCACGTGGTAAAAGGCCGCTGTTCAAGTGAAGTTCTGACTGCTAACAGATCTTAGGTGGAACTTGGAAGTTAGAATGCTAAAAGTCCTTATTGGAGATATATATTATTAACTTGGGCTTACATCAGAAATAAATGTGAAAAGATATTGAAACAAAGGTGAACATATTGCTTCAGAAAGCATTACCAGCCCATTCCCATCTGTGTACATATTGCACAAACCCAAGCCACTATGATTGAGCCATCCATTACCCATAGAGCCAGTTAAAGGAGAGACTGAGGATCACCAGCAGTACTAAGCGGGGTGAGGAATACCTGGCCAGACCAGATCCAAGTCTTTAGGAGTCATCAGTGGATCCAGTTGAGAAATTTGTCTCTAAAGGCGCAGTTACACTGTGCATCTGGTGAGTGCACAGCCTTCACTTTTTTCACTGTCACGGCTTGGAAGAAGCACTCTGAAGGAGAGGGATTTTCATCTCCCACATTTTCACTAAGACTGCTATTTTGCACTGCTTGTCACTCTGTTAGTGACGGAAATATATATGATCACACAAGTCACTTGATTTATGCTCACCATATATTTGAATTGACTATATTGGCACCTTGGTCATAAGACACTTTGTGATATGGTTTATAATTATTAATATCTTGTATTTAGCGCCGCATCTTTTATACTCTGAGTTTTGCAAGGTTATTTGGTATCCTTTTTTGATGCTGTGGCTGCTTCTTTGCTTTTAGCGCTCACAATTTTATTAGAATCTAAAAGGCCGCTGTGATTGGCCTTTTACCACATCACGTGATCAGCTGTGCCCTTAGGACACAGCGATCACGGAGATCGCCGGGTGTGCGCCCCCGGGGGCGTGCAGGAGAGCGCGTTCTGGGAGGACAGCCTATGATGCCCTTCCAGAACTGGCTGGCCGCAGTGTAACCGTCATTCGGTTATCTGCGGTCGGCAAGTAGTTAAGGGCCTATTCACACTTGTCTGTTATCATGCAGTAAAAGCAGAAATCCTATCCTTTTCTATGTAGCAGGCTCACATAAATGTTCTGTGCTTTAGTGTGAAAAGAAAATGGTAATTGCATGGGCTCATTCACACCTACACATGTTACTACACATGCTGCCTGCATATGGAACAGAGCGATTCCAGCCTTAACTGCCAGTTCACACCAGGAAACACACAGGAACATACAGCGCATTCCTGTGCAATTAACATGCATTTCTGTGCAGAGCAATTTCAACACATTGATTTTCAATGGGCTTAATCGCACCGCACCAAAAATTGTGCATGCACTACTTTTGGAAACTCACTGTAACTGCATCGCTGTATACCTGTACCATATGATCCGGTGTGGGCAAATGCACTGCATTTGCGTCTTGCTTTTGAGGTGTCATTACCTTAACCATTTGCCTACCGGGCACTTTCACCCTCTTCCTGCTCAGGCCAATTGTTGCACTTTGAATGCCAACTGTGCGGTCATGCAACACTGTACCAAAACTAAATTTCAATCATTTTTTTTTTGCGACAGATAGAGATTTCATTTGGTGGTATTTAATCACCTCTGGGATTTTTTATTTTTTGCTAAACAAATTAACAAAAACCAAAGAAGTTTTTCTTAGTTTCTGTTATAAAGTTTTGTAAATAAGTGATTTTTTTTTTTTTGCTTCAATGATATGTGCTGATGAGGCTGCACTGATGGGCAGTGATGAGGCAGTACTGATGGGCACTGATGAGGAGGTACTGATGGGCATCACTGATGGGAACTGATAACCTGCACTGATTGGGCTACACTGATAATCACAGCACTGATTATCAGTGTAGATGTTCCCTATTAAGATCGCCGCTTACCGGCTCTCCTCTCCTCACGCGCTATTTACACTGTGGATGGCTGTGATTGGACACAGCTGATCACATGGTAAAGGGCCACTCTGACTGGCCCTTTAC